AACAAGAGAAAGTTCCAACCCTAAAATCACATGGGCAGGTGGGGAAGACTGTACAGAAACTCAGGATACTCTGTAGAGCACAAATTCCTTCTCCCCAGTTTATTTATTCTGGAAATCTAGTTTATCACATGCAAAATTCAAAGTGGAAATATAGCTTATATAGATTCAAGGAACACGAAAAGGAACTGTGTGTGTGTACAATGAAGAGCCAATATAACTCGCATTTGGCTTAAAAACTATTAACCTTTCTCCTTCAGAATCACAGCTTTGTGCAGTATATGGATGTGTGTGTGTGTCATACACCCAAGTACAGAGAAAATAATAAACAAATGAGAAGATGACCACTTTGTTCCAGGGCTCATTTTAGCCCTGTTACCTGCTATTTATTTTCACATAGCACCTACTCCTGCAAAGACTCTCAGAACAATAATCTGGTTGGACTGGAGGCCCCAGAAGAACCCTGCAGAGCAAAGATTCACTATGGGTGACCATGGCCAGCACTAGGGGCCAAGATACATTTCCACTCTGCAGAAGAGAATGTTGCAGTGAGAGCATGGACACATGCCCAGAATCCTAAAAGCTGACAAGATGAGGGTTTGTTGTCAGAGAGCAATAACCCAACACATCTCCCAGGGGTCCCCAGCTCCTGCCTGGAAGGTGCCAGGCTGACAGCTGCATGTGAGCTGGCTCTCACCCACGTGCTGGGGATTGTGGGAGAGAGAAACACACAAACAACATCAGGAACAAAGACATAAGATCTATGGCTTAAAATTGACGGTTCATGCGGCCCCAGTGCCAAGCGGCAAAAGCGGGAGTCAGAACAGCGGAGAAAACATGCGGGAATGGTAGGCAGAAGCGCACAAAACACAGCCGGACCCACGAGGAGCCATGCTCACACTTACATGGTGTGGTCTCACACTACCTTAGTTTGCTTTAAGCATTTCCATCATCTGAGAGTTTGGGAGGGAAAAACAGAATGGTTAAAGGTAAAATAAATCAAGAGCTCGCACTTTATTTTTAAAGGTTAAAAATAACAATGTTATTCCTGGCCATCCCATTCCTAGCCTGCAGAGAGAGACAGGTGACAATTCATAGAGGTGAGAAACACAGTTCTGACAGCCAGACTGTGGTTTCATATCTTGGTTCTGCCACTTGCAGCTGTGTGACCCTGGGCAGGTGTCTTACCGTTCTGTGCCTCAGTTTCCTCATCTATAAAATGGGTCTAATAGTAGCACTTACCTCAGAAGACTGTGTGTAGTGAGGAGGCAGTGAAGTAATACATGCGAAATACTTGGAACAGTCCCAGTCAATACTAAGCATTACCTAACTATTAGCTATCATTGCTGTTATTTTGACCTTTGCCTTCCTCAGGTAATAACATCCAGATGAGATGTTCACAGAAAACCAAGGACTTGGTGAGAATTTAAGATGCCCCATAAGAAAAACAATAGAAGAAATCAACTCATTCAGGAGAAAAAAGGCAGAGTTAGAAATGCACGGGTTGAGCAATGGCTCGTGTGTTGCTATAATTCTCCGAGGCCGTCATTTCAAATTCCAAAGCAATTCAGAGTAGGTTTTTAAGAAAGAAAAATAAAATCAATGGCACACACACACAGACTGATTAGAACCTGAGGCCTGGTTCATGTGGGACAACTCAAGGCAGTGGACACATCATCAGATTCTCCCCTTTGGGTTGATGGCACCTTACATGTTCTAACTCGCCTGCACCCAGTGCCTCACACAGCGAGCGAATTGCTAAAAGGTGCCAGTGGAAGGACGGGGGTGGGGGGGGTGGGGTGGGTTGTGAGCACAAGCCATGCAGGACGACAGACTTCTCTCCTCAGTTCTTTCCCAGAACCATTCTGTCAGCTTTGACCTCACCTGGCAGGATCCTGTGGAAAGAATGGGACCTTAGCCTGAAAGGAACCTGTAAGTAAAGTGCTGCAAGGAGGACCTGGGCCGAGTCTGCCTTTGCTGATCACACTCTGTGCCCCTGGATGGCTGGACCAGTGCCCTGCAAGCTCTTCACTGCCCCCTCCATCTCCCAGTGGTGCATCTGCACACGGAGACAGAGCTTATTTAATACACGTGGCATTCCACGAACCCCAGACGGACAGGCTGCCCTCGCCTTCCGACCCAGGGATGCCCGATTCCTTCCCCTGGAACGCCTCCATCTCCTGCTTCCCAGTCCACTCTGTCCTTAACTTCTCTCATCCGGCTGTTACCTGCTGGTGTCACTTCTTACTCATCACTGATCTCAAAAGGTTTCCAGGGTGGATGCTGCGGGCCTCTCCCCATCACTCCGAGTTTCCTCATACCCTTTCTCACTTCCTCAAAGGTGGGGAGGATAGGGGTGGCCTTTGCTGGGATGTGAGCATTGGGATGAAGGGATCTGATTCTTTATAGGTGGAAAGTTGGGCGCTAAATGCATCAATTCCAATGAAAAAGTAAAAGCAACACTGGAAGTCTTCAGCCGCTGGAACACAGGAGGGAAGGACAAAGAACACGCCAGGGTCTGTTTAGTGGCTGAGCTTAACCGACCTGTGCCAGAAAGGGTGAGTCACGGGCCGCCTGGGCAGGGAGCACGCCCACCCCCGGAGCACAGACCCTGCAGTGGTTCTCAGCTTCCACAGAGGTGCATTCTCCCAGCAAGCAGGGTATGTGTGTGTGTGTGTGTGTGTGTGTGTGTGTCCAACCACAGATTGCTGAGCTCTGAAAAGGCCTTTGCTTTGAGCAGTTTTAACCTGGACAACATTTTTTGTGTACATGTCACCCCAGCTGCTAGTTGGGCCATGGGTTCCTACAGGCTGGGTTCTCGGGCAGCCAGCCTCTCACTCTGTGAAGCACAGCCGCCCCCAACTCCCCCCCCCCCCACCGGATTAGGGCTGCTGGTGTTCTGATTGAAGCCTCTTTTGTCCAGCAGGGAGGCTGCTTTTTTAAAGACACACACTCTGCTCTTTCCCAATCACAGGTACTGTTTCAAAGACACAGATGACAGTGCCTCAGTTCTGGAAGAGAGAGACACCTTGATCTGTTCAGCACATCTTCTCAGGGATGCTATTTACGTCATCAGAATGTGGTTCTGGCAAAACTAAAAATGGGAGAAACAGGCAGAGGAGACTTCGAGAATCAAAGGGATTTCCAAACGGAAAAACCAGGTCTAATGAATTGCAGCAACCGAGACGTTTAAACAGGATTATTAAGCAATTAGACAAATTATAACTAATATGGGAACTACACAGTGGTTTCAAAGGGAACCATTTCAAATAAGTCATTCTCTTGATTTGGAGGGCTTTCATTCCATGCCATCCAGAAGACTGTCATTTTAACAGAAGAGACAGAGGCCGTCCCATTTTTCTTGTTGACGGGACAAGCAATGCCACATCTCCTGGAGGGTCACTGACCCCACCAGGCCACAGGACTCCACCTTGTTCAACAGCAATGGTGGCTACGTTCTGCTCTGAGTCCCAGGGCCCAGTCCTCTCCCGAGGCAGGACAGGTGTTTCCAGGCGTGAGCTGTCAGGCTGTGTTTCAGTGGGGAGCCCGTGCCGGAGAAAGGTCAGAAGAATGGGTTCTATCGCCAGACGAGAGGCTGATGTCTGGGTAACATTTCGGGTACTCTGACGCTCTCTCTTGACTACAGAGGTCTCAAGCAAACCTCCTTTGGATCCCTCTGACCCCTAGGAATTCTCCCACAGACCACAGGTGTGAAATTCCCATCGTAGCTGAGGCAATGGGACGGACTTTATATACACGTTTCCATGGAAGGGGGAGGGGGAGGGGGCCCCCACAGAGACAGGGAGCAGCATTACCCCTCCCAAAAGGCAGTGGTGGCAGCGGTTCCACGCACACGCACGGCCAGCGTGCTTTTCTCTCTGCTACAAACACAGACAGGCCTGTACCATCGCTGCTTGTATGGACACCTCTGACTGTTCACGGGGCTCACTGAGTGTGTGTCACTCTCAGAGGGGAAGATCAACCAGTAGTCCGAGAGTCCACTCATTAAGAAATTTTATCTATAATACTCAAAACATAAAAAACAGATGTAGCTTTTCTGTTTCCACTTGATTCACTCACACTTGAGCAAACAGCTGCCTCATGCACACACTGCAGACTTTATAGAAAACACCCCAAATGCCCCTCTGAGTACTTGTGTTTGATCTGGGTGATTTGTACTAAGCCCTGGGAGACTGGGTTCTGTAGTTTAATTTCCTGCTTCCCAGGGGGTAGCCGGATAATAGACGGAAAGCTGAGTATTGACTGATTCTTTTCCCCTTCAAATGCATCCCCCTCCTGGGCCTCTGAGGCGCATGGTAGAGGGGGACAGTGAAAGGAACAAAAACGCAAGAGAGTCCTAGTGAAAACGATTTTCAATTGAGAGGCTTTTCGGAGAAGACACGCAAGATGTCACTGCAATTTATTATTGGAACCGAAGAAATCTAGGCTGGATGTGACCTTGGGAATTAACTATCCAGTCCACTGCTTCACTTGACAGATGAGGAAACGGGGGCTCAGAAAGGACAAGTGAGAGCCTGCTGGAGAGTCAGGGTTAGAGGCAGACCTTCGACCCCACCACACTGGTTTCCACTTGCAGTGGAAGAGCACAGTTTCCCAAGCGAGGACACCCGTTAGGGAATATAATAGGAGTCGTATGCCAGGCCTGCCCTCTGAGTTTAGAAAGGTTTAATTTCTTCATAAGCAAGCTAAGAGCAAAGTTCGAAAACTGCTCCCCCACTCCCCACCGCCCCAAGATAAAAATCAATGGTGTGTGTGTGGTCTGCCTCTCAGTCACTGATCCTTAAAACTGAATAAACTATGGACCCCTTTACAGGAAAATAATCCTCTAAGATCTATCATAAATTTTCTGAACCAGCATCTGAGAAACATTTACTTAAGAAAGATGAAATCTTCTTTGAACATGATTTTCAACTGAGAAGTCTCAGTGAAAAAAGACAAGTTTTATCTTTATAACTGGTAAAATGAAAGCACAAAACCTAAACATCCTTATTAAATCCAAAGACCCCCACCATGTCCCCGCAAGCATATGTCCCTGAAACCTGATTTGAGAAACACTGTCCTAGCTCAGAATTCATCTCCGGTTTCTTCCCTGGGCCTCTGAATGAACTTCCCCAGCTTATATCCCTTCTACCTTCACTCCTTTGGCAGCCACTTCTTTGGTACAGAATGAATATTCAGTTCCCATTTTTGCACCAGAGCCTGTGTGTCCCGTATTCCTGTTGCCTCATCACCCTTTCTGAATCTGGGGTCACTTCGTGATTTTCCTGATATTTCTTTTAGATGAATACTCAGCATAATCCTGCTTTTAAGGAATGGTATTTTTTTTTTAAATAAAAATGCTAGTTTTTTAAAACAAAAGAGATTCAGGTTCCCACCTAGGCAGCATCAGCCACCATCTGGATTTCAGGAATGAAGTCCCATCAGTTAAAATGCACATTAAACACCTCAGCTGGCCTTGTCTGGTAGCTAAGTTTCTTGTTTTACAGTCTCACCAATTTAGCATTGCCATCTTGTCCTCCCTCTGGGGTGACAGGTGGCTAAAAACACATTTAGATTTTCCTCTGAGGGGGAATTTCTCTTTCCTTGACAGTCTCTCTCTGCTCCGCGTCTCAGACACAGACAACTAGGAATTTGCCAGGGAGCTCCCCTTGGGAGTGTCTCTTTCTTGCCTACCTGCATTCATCTATCCTGGGTCAGAATTTTCTATTTCATTAAGAATTCATTCTCCAGTGAAAATGTAAGCCTGGTAGAATTCTTCCAGGCTCCTTATAGCCATGTTGTTGTCTTTGTTTTGGATTTTATGGAAAGTGATTAAAGAAAATGGAATGGGTCCTAGTTCTATATTATTTTGACTAAAAAGAAAAATGAAAGAATGTTTCTTTATACCATACTTGTACACTCCAGTACAGCAGCCTCTAGACACATGTGGCTC